AAGTTCACCAATTGACTGGTGCGATGATTTATTCCTTTCAATTTACACTCTGTGTGCACTTTTCCATATTTGTCCCAGTATTCGTAGCTGTACTTTATAGCAAAACCTAATATCTTGTCCTCCATTCCGGCTCTTAAAAGGTCTCCTTCGATTTCAGGGTGACGGTGAAAAATTCGATCGATATAGATGCAACTGTGCGCATGAAAATATAGCACATGATCACCAAAAAGATGTAAGGCTTCGTACAATGGCATTACTAAATTCGTCGGCCTGTACAAACTCCATTTCTTCGTAATTGACTAAAATTAAGTCCTCACGAATTTCGTCGACGTGTTTAAAGTATTTGGTTTGCTTTGATGTATAATCTGTAAGTAGCTGGAAAGTTTTGGCTCTTTGTGCTATTTGTCCCCACAAACAATTCAACATCACTTTCTCAAACGGTCGCCTTCATTCTTTTTCTCGTTGTGGTTTAAAGTGATGTCCTCCCATCAAAATATTTATTTTGATCATTCGGAAGTGTGGCACCAGGAAGGAAATATCGTGCACTTCTAACAATTGGTATCCCCAGGTCAAGAGCTTTAAACAATTCTAATCTAACCCACGTCCATGTCAATGTAGGTTCTTCCTGAGTGTGATGTCAAGCTTTTGACACAAGTGTTACACGATGAGAAATCACTTTTCCTTGGCAATTGTGTGGTGAAACGGTATGATACAAGTCTGTGGGATGTAGGACTTCGCAGTTGATCGAATTATCGAATGTTGTCCACTTCGATATATTCTGTCAGCAATTGTGGGTTCCCTACAGAAAAGTGACGATATTTACACACTTAAGGATACAGACAACACACATCTATGTATTTGATTTATTCTCCTTTCTCCTCGTCGGCGTGGTACAAGAAACAAGTGACATTCGTCCGTCCTCCATGCAAACTATCCCAATCTCAGAAGTTGGCAGGCAAGTTTCTGTTGTGAATCGTGTGTCTTAAGATGATCTTGGTAACACAGAGGGCTAACAAAAGTTCGCTGTCAAGCCGGGCAATGCACTCGTTTATTTTTTCTTCGTGAAGATAGGGTTTTGAGACCAAACATTCGGAACGTTTGAATCCATAATGCTTGTGTTGCTCTCTATTGTTATAACCATAGTCACATTTCTCACAATAATAACCGTATCTCTGGAATGCGGAGATACTGATAATGGCAACAAGAATGAAACACTTTAATCAAAATAGTAAAAAATAATGTACTTGACTCATATAATAAAATGTACTCACTCAAACAGTGAAAAATGACCAACTTTACTCAAATGTAAAATAATGAAAACAAAGGTAAAGATGTCATACAAAATATCTTTACGCTCCCAAAACAATTGGCATAATAAACCCAAAAATTTGTCCACTACTAAAAGATTACATGCATGGAGTAACACTAACTACTCTGTCACTAGCACACTTGGTTGCCAGTCACACAGGTCAATCAAGCAATCGGCATTATAGGTTCACCGACCACCTTTTAATTCCTTGACAAAATCAAGCAATCAGCACCCACCAATGCGGTCAACAACGCACGATCACCTGCTACTCGACTAGCAACACTTTTGCTCAGCTCTATGGCTGCTAATGTCAACTTCTATGATCAGCTCTACAGCTGGTACCCCGTCGACTACAATCTGCTGAAAATACATGTAAAACCGTGTACTATGCATCACACGGGCATGTACGATAGCACGTAATGATAATATGTACAGTAAGCTATACAAATTACATTATCGGCACAACATTGCAAAGCAATAAACAGGTTCAGAAGTGAACCTACCTGTGTCTGAAAAGAATCCTACGGTGCTAAATGTTTCTTAAAAATGCAACTTTATATTGCTAATATAAATCTCTTGATAAGTCACTATCAAGAATAGAAAATATTTGCATTATACTACGTAAGACGAAACTACAAAGAAATATAGAAAACTAAACGTAGTAGTAAAATAGTTGTTACTTATAATATACCTTTCTCTACAGCTGAAAATGTGCAAGTCCCTATATTGCTTACTGGCAAGACGTTCCGTAATGTGAAGGTATCGCCTTGCGATGAGGCGTATGTACACAGACAATGCATCCTACATAGTCTATGAGCTGGAAGTATTTGTTTTTTTTATCGATAGCACTTTGGATGTGAGGCATAGTTTGAACTGAATTCAGTGTTTCGAAATAATGTACAAGATACATAAATCACCCTCGGGTATCGTTTTACACAGTACAAAACCGAAAATATGTATTTAATAAATAAAGAGATTTATACAAATCCTTGACAGTAATCATTATTGGTGTAATGGCTAATTGACTAGAATTCCCAATAAGTCATTCAATTGTTCTGTTCCTACTGGTGTTGATGATCAAAGACTCAGGCATGATAATGCCTTTGAGAACAAAGTTTGGTTACCCAGGACTTAAATAAGTTAACATGATTCAAGTTGTAGTGTAGCTACTTTAGAGCGACATGAATAGCCTAAATTTTCTCCGTTTTTTTTTTCTTCTCAACTTTATGAGAAGATAAAGTATTAGAGTAAATATTAATTGTCATTGAAGCAGATGTTAGTTTTTATTGCAGATAAAAAAATTCTTTAAAGCTTTGATAGTTTCTTTTAGTACTTAAATTGCAATATATTGCAAATACGTAACATCACATAAATAAAATAAAAGTCTACATGATGTTAAACATGTTAACGAAACACATCAATGTATTACATCTATTCTTTAATTGATTATATCAGTAAAACGTTATTGGAGACAGTACCTAAATTAGAGCATAATCGGTTGCTTTTCCTGTATAAAATTTAAATTCGATTGATGAAAAGGTGTTTGGAGCAGCTAGCATCTCTGTAGTAACATTTTATCTGAAACGAATTCTTGCTAAAGACATAACCGTTATGGCAGTGACGATCTTTCAAGTTGAATGACTATGATATTGTCATGGCAATTAACGATATATGGCCAACGGTATTTTCGATAAAGAACAGAATAGATCAAATTATAATTAATGGATAACTGAGAAAATTGAGATCAGCAGTTGGTAGTGACGGAAACAAGGTACTGGAGCTATGCAAGTTTAAAGTCAACGGACAGAAATTTAGAATACCACTTGATTTCCAGATATTGACAGTGTTTTGGTCGATGCATCCGAAATTTACCATTACACATGTAAACGTTTCAGAATACTTCAAACTGAAAAATATGCCTCCAGTATGATACGAATATTTCAGCATACTCTGTTAACTCAAGTACAGAAGATGAATTCGTTTCTTTTACAACTGTATTCTTAGAGAGATTTTATGATGTGGGACTTTGTATAACCATATATAGTTAATTCACCGTCAATAATTTAAAAGATCGATTAACTGAAACGACTACCTTCCTTACCCCTGTGTACAAATCAATTAAATAGCACGGAATTGTATGCGTTAACAATTTTTATACGACCTGCATGTATATATGGCTTGATTTATGGTGCATAAATGAGAACAAATTGCATAGTACCGATCAAGGATATATTATGTTGAACACCGGATGCAACTGGAGTTCAAGATAAAATGTATATTCTAAAATTTCAGATAGTGATATTGTTGATCAATGCAATGTCAATGATGAAATTCAACACAAAGGTATTAAAATTGTTGTGGCATGTGTTTTGGGGTCATTTTAAAGCACGAATATATTAAAACTTGTGTGGCTTGCTGGTTTCAAAATCATTATGAAACACGAAGGTAGAGGAAAGATAAAGGATATTTTAAACAAAAAACATCACTAATGAAGAACAAATCAATGCATTTGAGAGATGTAATCACACTTCTGTCGTCTATATCATGTCCTTGTGAAACGCTAAGATATAATTAATGGTCATTAAAAGGGGATAATATGACACAATCCTATTTTGTCACCGTCTGTTAGTCCTTTATGTACAGAAAGACTTACAGCTTTTTATACACGACAAAGTAATTATGACAGACCCAGCGATACATTCGACAAATGGATAGAGTTACCGTTAACATTTATCAGGGCAAAAACAAAACAACTATTTATGATGAAAGAAAGTGACAACCTAGAGCATGCACAGAAGAGGACAAGCGACCTGTATAAACTGGCTTTATTCTGTGATTAAATATGCTTTTCAAAATATACGGAAATCAATGATGCATGCAGTGACTGGTTTTGATATTAACGAATAACGTAATAAGTAATGAATCAATAATGAATACATGTCATGTTTACTAGCAGGTTCTCGACTGGGATGCATATATATTGCACGGCAATTATTAAGTATCTAATATAAAATATTAATTAATCACTACTCACACGAATGGAAAGAACTTCCTATTTATCTAAGGCCGATTTATAAGTATTAATATGTTACATGAGTTGAAGACCCCTACTAAAGAACTGAACTACTCTAACAATATAGATTTGACTCCCTTGGTGTCCGTGCAAGAATTTCTATATTTTATTTGAGCACTGTTTTCTATCATCTATTCATTGCATAATGATAATGTAATTGGGTGAGTTGTTCATTGTCATGTCATCAGATCGGTGCATTGGACCTTGAGTATATTCCCTCTAACTGAAGCCTAAATTACTTACACAGCTCCCAGACTAAGATGATAATCTATTGGAGCTGAAACTTCAACATTTCATAGCTGACAGCATTTTGTTCAAACCATTATTACTGTTCAATGTGTATGTGTATGTGTGTGCGTGCGTGTGTGTCTGTCTGTGTGTGTGATTTGGTTTTTTATTGTAGCTTAAACGAGTTTTCAGTCATATCGCTACAATGTCTATAGCGTGGCATTTCTTTCAGCGAAGTCTAGCCCGGGGGATCATGTCACAGACATATAACATGATGTCTCAAATAGTCACATTATCCTGATACCAGGCCGACCAATCCTTATACAAACCTATTAATGCTGAGTTCCTAGCGAGGTAGCTGTAAAGTACCATTTTTATAAGTCTTCGGTATGGCCTGGCCGTGGTTCGAACCAGCGACCTCAAGCATTCGAGGCGGACGCTCGAACCACTAAGCAAACGGAGCGGTCATGGCTGTTTCATGATTTCATGCCAAATGGTATAGACCATTTCACGGTTATTATCTTCCCTTGAAAACACAAGAGGCGACTCGATGCCACTCACTTCCGGATGGTTCAATCAATAAAGATGGCAGATGTAGATCAAGAAAATGTGACAGACCGCTCACATTCTGCAATATATATCGTTCAATATATCACTATCCTAAAAAGAAATTCTTTCAATATTTGATCAATTTTTTTTCATTATTTATTTTTTCAGTAACTTAACGCAGCTTTCAAATAAATGTTCTCTGCCAATTTCATAACTTCATTATCTTTCCATTACTACCTCATGCACTTTGTATTATTTGATTGTGCGAAAGTGTATCGCATCTTAAAATGACTTTTTTTACTGCAATTTGTCTAGCTTGAAGAATAAGGAAAATATGTTTATTACAGCTTTAATCATTGCAATTAATGGAGGTTGAACGACAACGAGAAAAAATTCTAACTTACATATCGTAGGTGGGTAGTGATTATATTGCGCGGAAAATATCACAATTACGTAAATTGCCAACAGCAAAATAGCATACAAAATTATATATATATATATATATATATATATATATATATATATATATATATATATATATATATATATATATATATATATATATATATATATATATATAATCGATTTAGACAGTTGAATTTTTCTATTAATATTCATTATATTATTCATGAAATAACTTGAGTTATATCTAGGAAGGATATATTTTTCCAAAATGCACAAATGTCATCCACGGTTGAACAGACAGGAGAAATATTTATATTATTGTCACTATGTATGTATATTATATTTTGGTCTCTCCCCTATCTACCTGTTTGTCTATACGTCTGTCTGTCTGTCTCATTTTATCTGGAGCATGGGTATGTATATGTATGTATATGCTTGAATGAATGTGTTCGCATACGTATATTACATAAACATACTTCTTGTTAAAAACGAGCATATAATGGTTCTAAGATAGAAAGAGTGACTGATAGATAAAGACAACTTATATGAATATTTGTGACTATCCTTTTTTTATTGACTTGAAGATCATGTTCTTACAAAACAGTCTCTTTTAAATCATCATGTCTTCAATTTGATATCCAGTCACATGAATCAATATTGATTTAAAAGGCGAACCAAAGTAATAGTAAGGAATCTTTGAAATAATTGGATCTTTTAAACTTACATATTTGATGCATGGAAAGTCAAATAGAATTAAAGTAAATTTAATAAAGCTGTTTCAGATGAATTTGTTGGTGGCAATCAAAACTGTTGTCTAAAGACTCCAACAAATTTGAGAATTATTACAATGTGTCAGCATAGGCAAAGAAAAATCATGCTGAAAGTTATTGCATGCACCGTCTGATGCTTGATGTTTCATATTTTTTTAAAAAAATTCTGGTCTAAATTATTCAGCATTACAGATCAACTGACGGATCACAATCGTGTTATAATTTTCTTATCGAACTCGTGTTATAGCTTTCTTAACTAGTGTTATAAACAAACTATTAGCCTTGATAAAATAACAGAAATAAGGACATACCAACGTATGAAAAATGCAAATTATTGAGAGGAATTTGGTTAAAGTTATGCAGCCCAAAAAAGTGCAATAAATATTCAAAATCAAAGAGAAAAAGGAAATGTTTTTCTTTCAAATATAACTGAAATTATGGATTATGAATATATATTATCTGTTATAATATAAGTATGGACATTATATGTAATTCAATTATTTGATATCATTTAAGTATGAACAGTAAATTTTATTTAATTATTGGATACAATGAAAGTAGGAACGTATGGACACCCAATTTAATTATCTGATGTAATGTCTATAATTATTCTCCTAGTATGAACAAAATATGTTAGACAAATATAATTTATTCATTGTTTTAACCCTAAATGATATGTAGTACAGCTAAGATCATGAACTATCCGGAACTGGAAATTTTTGTGTTGCATGCGCATTGACGCTAAGGGAGGTAATTTTAAGCTCTACAACCAGTAACTCCGTTGCAACCGTGAAAAAGCATGGAGTCTTAACATGGAGTCTATTAGAGGTGAGATGGCAGTGATGACTCGGCCACCCGGGTCCCATATAATCTTTGCTTAAAATAGCTGGGTAAGGTTCTAAAGACCTTAGTATTAAAATAGCTGTTAAAATTATATTTATTAAATGATGATAAGAATATTTTTGATTCCACCAGTATTGTGTCAATTGTGTTAAAAGGAAATGTAAGCCAACAATATAAAAGACGGCCATCATTTCGCTACAAATCTTATACGTATGCAACAGATGTCAAGAGTTAAGCATCTGGACCGAATGAGTACATATGAGGATTTGACACTTGGATCAGTCCGGATCAGGTAGGTACTTTCTTAGGGCAAGGCACTTTGCTGCCATGGCCTTGGCACAATATATTCTACTTGTGTTGTTTTAACGTAAAACTCTAAACCAAACCAAATCTGTGTATCAGGTGTAATTTTAATTAATGATTTCCTAAATATATACCGTTCTTTATTCATAATCTGTCGGCTAAATATCTTGGATGATTTTCACGAATTTGGTAGAAAAAGTTCCGAACCAAAAAGTGGCAATAATAAAAAGCAATAATGAAAATGACTATAAAGTAGGTCTATAAAGAAGACAATTTGATCTGAAGACAGTTACAAGTCTAATGGAAAAACTTTCAAGGAATCCTAATGACAAATGGAATATTTTAAATCCAATTACTAGATGATCTGCTTGACTACTAGGTCTAGAAAGGTACTTCAGTGTTGTGTCATAGACTTTAAGAATAGCTGTGTCCCAAAAATATAAGTGGTAATGCTTTTATTTGAGTCCATAAAGACTTCCTTATTATGCTAATCTTAGGTTAACAGGAGTGGTGATGGAATTTCGAAAATAATTGTAAAATGTTCCTCATGACCAAATCAGCTATTAGAAAATGAATGAACATTTTTCTAAAAGATTTTTTTTTTAAAAAAGCGTGAATATTATCTTGAATATGAAGGCAACATCAGAAATAACGTAGAATATATGGGTTGTGGGCAAGTCATTATTTACCTGGAACAAAACATTTTGATCCTTTGCGAATGTCTCAATGCCTACAAAATAAGAAAATTGGATAGGCAACCAAGAAGCAAGTCAAAGTACCAAAAAACAATACAAGGTTCTTGAAAAATAGAGTTTTGGTGCTAATTTAAAAATAGGTTTAGAGTTATAACAATAGAAATAAAATATAATAAATTAAACAGTACATTTTTTTAAAGACCACTCATTCGTTGCAAATAAACGAATTTAGCTAGACTTATAGTTGTCATTACTGAAGAGAAAAAGGGTTCATAACTGTTAGATCTTGCAAGTAAAAGAAAAATGAAAATTCTGCCATTTACAATTACAAGCTGTAGTTGTATCGTCTGTTAGGTTCGAATCTTATTCATGCGACCAGGAACCAGAGTCAAAATCTTATGTTAAATTGAATAGCACTCCATGAAAAAAAAAATCACAAGTGTTATTTTAAAAGCCTTTATATCCGTCTTCATAGATTTTGTTTTGGCGAGTGAAGGGGAGAGAAGGGGAGGGAAAGGGAGGGGAAGAGAGGTTGGAGGGAAGGAGAGGGAAGGGGACGGGAGGGGACGGGAGTGGAATGGAGGGGAGGGGAGGGGAGTAAACGAATATGAAAAAAATCGTCACAAGAAAATATATTTGATGAAATATGTACTAATAAAAATAACTTTGCTTTCAGGTATCAAACAGATGTTTATTTTACAAAGACAATGATCATAAACACTTCGTGTTAATCAGTTTAGAGAATAATAAACCTAAATCGACAGAGGATATAGTGTAATAATTACAAAAGTGACTGTTTTGAGATATTTTACTGCAAAGAGGTAATAAGGAATAACAAGTAACAAGGTTTCGCTTCTGTCTGTTACTTAGTTTAAGACTATATATTTGTAACATTAGTAAGATGGTACCTTGACGTTTAGTACCTTATTGCCGTAAATGAAGATGATTTTGATGGGCACTACGAGACATTTATCAAATGACATAAGCAACCTTCAGTATGGCCATCTACCTTCTTATCAAAGGGATATCTCAGCCTCATTTTATTTTATTTTGTTATTATTAAATTACTATTCACTTAGAGAATGGCAAATGACTGCAGTATCATTATTTCAAATTTGTATGTACTTTATCACGTTTACATGTTGCAAAGTCTTCGTTTTTATTTCGTATTGACAATACATATCTAGGTAATGCTAAGAATATTTATCTCTGTACCTGCGTAACAAATATGAGGAACATAAATGAAGGCATTCGCAGAATATATTAATAAAATAATCAATAATCACATCAGTCGTATCCTTATTCATGAAACATTGAAAGCGGAAGTATAATGACCTTCTCTTATCTGCCATTGAATAATATCAGCATTCTGATTTCCAGTACGGTATCTTTAATCCGTTTCTGCACTTCAAATGTTCCAATCATAAAATTCCTTTATCAACAGTCTTAAATCATAGTAAATTTATACTAACCGAGTATTCAGTTGGCCGGAAATTTATTCCATGTTGAGTTTCCATTTATTTACTAGCCTAGACTAGTAAGTATTAAGATTGATGATGGAGCACACTTTTAATTTTGTACTTCCGTTTCACCTTTTTCTTCACATGAATTAATCAAAATAAATAGTATACTCACAGCTGAAAGGGTTGTCTGCGGTCATCGTTTGCTAATGGTTGTTTTATTCAGGCATATGTCTATATTACAGTCTCTGTTGATGCGCAGCCGGGTGAAATTCAGTTGTTTTTGTTGCATTAAAAGACCCAATAATGCCTTCAAGAAAGATTATATTCCTAAGGTGAGTTTTAGTACTTTAAAGTATGAATCAACTCAAGCTTTTATTCATTGAAATAAAACAAAATAAAAATAAAAAAACAAACAACAAAAAAACAAAAA